GGTGGTTTTGTAGTTTAACTACTATACTTCTAAAATCTTGGTTATTTTAGCCATTTATTTACCAAAACGTTCAGCTCATTCAGAAAATAAGTGCTTTGACTTTTGTTTATTTGTAGCTTGTATACTTTTCAAAAATGTTAAACTGTAATTAAAAACATTTTCCCAGGTGGGATAGCTCGGTGGTCAGTGCCGCTGTCTCGTAATCTTGATGCCGCAGGTTTGAGCTCAGTTTGCACCAGGAAGCTCATTCGGTGGAAAACAATGGCCAAATCTCTCATGTGCATCAGCTAGCCTTTTGTTACTTTTAGCTAACCTCCTGCAGCTTTTAGCTTTGAATTTGTGTTTTGTTCCTTTCGGCTTTTAATGAAACAGTATATAAGTTTTAATAAAACAAAAAAAAAAAGTGTATGCCCTAAATACACTCATCTTAAAATGAATAGTTAATTTGTTAATAAGATCATCAAGGTTTAAAAAAAGAAAATAAAACAAAAATAAAATGCTGACACAGCTGATTTTAACCGTGTATTCCAGTATCCACCATGCCCATTGCTTCTGCAGTTTGGGCATTTAAAACAGAGTGTATGTGTTGTGACGTGATGTGTTAGCTCAGTAAGAGTTTGTGAGCTTTTCCTTTCACATCCAGGTACTAATGTCACCATAATCTGCAGTTAGTAACATTACAATGTGCTTTTATCTGGCTCTAAAGGGCATGGATTGAATCTACGTCTTGTAAACAAGGTATAACTTTCAAAAGAACAGTTTGAATACACACTTAAAACCTAATTCTGATGTTATTTGGAGCAGTTATAAAATAAGCTAATCCTCTAAAAATCCTGCAATGCAATGTAAACAGAAGCAGGTTTTTTTAATCCTAAATGTTTTGCTTCTGGGTAAAAGATACGTCTTTGTGTGGTTGAGCCATAGAGTTACATAAATAAGACAACTAGACAGCGCATTGGTCACGTAACGTTGACTCACTGGAGCCACAACCAGAGAGGGCAAGCATCTGGACTTAGCATTGTTGTAGAAACTGGCAAAATAGACAACAGTAAGGGCTGATTATGTAAAAAAAAAAAAAAAAAAAACCTTGATAATATTAATGATATTAGGATGTATATAAGCTAATGCATATCAAAATGCCACAAAAGTGTGTGCTACAGTTGTACCAATTGAAGAGAAAAAGGAAAATGTGTCTTATTTCACAAGTCAGTAAATTTGATCTTATTTACCTCAATGTGAATGTGATCTGACCAGAATTGAAGCTAATAATGTAACCATTTAAAATTAAAATCAGCCTATAAAGCCAATGTAATCTCTGTTAATTATTGAATTATTGGGTAAATATTAGCTTCTGTGACATATATCGTTTTACAGTGTAGCACTGTGCTGAATCATGCTACAATTTAGCACACATTATCAAATAGTACAATTTGGTATTTCCTCAGATTCATATAATATTTACTCAGTGTAAAATAATATTGTATATTTGACTATTTTTAGGTTTCCATAACACAAACCTGACCTACTGAGAAGATGGTTAGCCAATATCAGTAGACACGTTTCATTCGTCAAAGTATCACCGGGTATGCAGTGAGCATTTTTTAGGTGTCGACTACACAACTGGTAAATAATAATAAATACGTTATTATTCTTTTTATATGTTTTCGGAGTTGTGCATGTTATTGAATGACTTTGGATCTAGTTTAGATCATTATTACTTATAAATTATATGTTTTCCTTATATATCTAGATGATACTGACAATACTGTAATTATATGTATTTTTTAATTTATTGTAAAAATATTACAAATCAGTTGTGACACAGATTAAGTTGGGTCTGCTGATAATCACTTAGTTGCTATGTCGGCTGTGAGCAGTTGCCCTCTTTGATTGACATCTTGCTCCTCCACGATGCCACAGATGCAAGCGGTGGACGGTGGACGGGGTACGGAGTGCGCTCTCTAGTCGTCTTATTTAACTCCGTGGGTTGAGCTCAACTGGGTTCTCAAATTAATGACCACATTGCAAAACATAAAAAAAAAACGGGCCAGATGGATTCAGTCTCCAGTGAGACAAACACGTTTCACACTTTCAAACAGCTGCTGCATTAACACTGCAGAAATAAGAATTTTACATGAACGCTTGTCTCCACCGTGATGTTTATGACCTGTGTGTACGTGTGTGTGTGTGTCCAGCTGAAACATGTCTCAGTGTAACAGTCTTCATGACTCCACTCTACAAATAGACACTCAACGGAGCCTCAACTCCAAACTAGGTGCTGGCAGCTGCTGTTTTATGTTTATGTGTGTGCGCGTATGTGTGTGTACGTGTATGACCAAGTTTACATACAAAAGGGACCAGGCTGTACATACAAATTCAGTTATTTATTCACATATTTTAACGAACTTGTCAAGACTGATAGGTTTCCAAACAGAGACGTCTGAAAGATGAAATTAATGACATAATAAGCTATACGTATTAGGGATGCACGATATTGGATTTTTGGCCGATATCCGATATGTTAAAACTTATTTGGTCGATAACTGATACGATATGTTAAATACTTTCCTTTGTCAGAACCTAGCCCTCTTATTTAGGCTTATTTGCTACAAAAATTGTGTAACAGCTGTAAGAGCTGGTGACATATTCAGTAACAGCCATATGCATAGCACTTTTAACTTGTATTAAATGAAAAGTGTTAAAATATTATTTATTAGCATTGCCGTCTCACTTGTGGAGGCTTGTTCCAGGTTCCTAGCTGCAGTGTGGGATCCTCTGCACTCTTGTGCATGAAGCACAGCCTTTTTAAGTTCAAACTTTTTGTCTATCCATTGTGCCGTAAGACTAATCATGCTAACGGGGCTAACACGACGTTCAAATGTCTGTGGTAAAACTCACTCAAGTGCTATCGGCTATTAGCTTCTCAATGACATCGGAAATGACAGCTTGTAACTGGGCTAAGGTTATGTCAGAAAAATATCTCCGACTGGGGACGATGTAGCAAGGCTCAACGTAGTCCAAAAATCTTTGGAATCTGACTTCCTCAACGAAAAACAAACCTCCACACCGCCGACATTTTGAATTTTCCTCTCCGCCGTGAGATCAGGTAGACGTGCGTGACGTCATCACGTTGTGCTGCCGCTGCAGGAATCCTTGTCACTGGGTTGTCATACAAAAACAGCATCTTTTATATCGGTGAGTTATTTTGATGGAATGCCTGATGTCCGATATTGAACTTTAACCCTAATATCGGCTGATACCGATACTATGCCGATAATATCGTGCATCCCCAACATGTATCATTGTTTCTTGTTACTGAAAGGCTAAGGTGGACAATAGTGTATATGTTTGAGTGTATTCGTGTATCTTGACTGTTAGCAAAATATCTAATGAATCAGCAGACACTTTTTTTTAAACTTTCAAGCAATAAACATTGAATGTACCTCTAAAATTGATTAACCTTTGGAGCCAACCCAATTTATGACACAAAAATGGCAATAATTCTCTCAATTTCACAGATATTTTACAAAGTGCTACTCATTGCATGACATATTTGCCTAAAACTTTGCTATTAATTGCTTGGAGTCATCTGTCAGCAAAACATTTTATGACATAGCAAACTGAATTTGATTAAATTTGAAAACTGAATGTACCTTTAAAGCTGAATCACTTTTGGAGTCAATGCCATTCAAGACGGTCACCCACAGATATCACTGATGTTAGCCAACACAGAAGTGGATACACTCAGTTAGTTTTACAGATATTAAGCTAAAATTTGATGTGGTCATAGCTGAATCACCCCCAACACAATCTATGGTTTTACCAAGACAACACCAACATTTCTCAACATTAGATGATCTTGGTCTAAACGTCTGGCATGAAAGGTGGCATGCGTTGTGAATTCCTTCAAGGAATGCTTGGCCTTTAATTTAGAAATGCTTTGAACCGTTTTTAAACGTAAGATCGTAAAAACCTGTGAAGCCACTGGAAAACTAGCATTGACTGATGAGGGTACAAGGGACAGAGGGCGGGTGTTCAACAGGAAACGCTCCTCCTGATTACTGTACATTTGCTGGGTCGAGTCGAGTTCCACCCAAAAATGCAAGAGTTGTGTCCAGTCTGGTACAAC